TTGCCGTTGATCTTTACTCTGTGGAGGCTAAAGTGCGCGTAGGATGGTGGTATACTTCTCTATCGTTCCTTATCAAGCAACGCCATAAAGCGGGTTGATCAGCCGAGTCAAATGCAGCCCATGTCTAACACTGCGACGATAATGGGTTTGTGGTAAATTTGGCGGTATTCAATGAGTTGGCGGAGCTCGGATGTTTAATTCACGCATCCACGGCCTGGACGGAAACCAGCTTGTTTTTCACGGTAGTATGATTCACGTATTTGGGATAGTCTACGAAGGAGTTTGGATACAACCGAAGTGTAACTAATTCCTCGATGGTTGCCCAATGAAGTGCGACCACCTTCCTTGAAAATCGGAACAATAACTGTTTCACCCCTAGAGGATGGCACTTTTTCTTTACGCCAAATTTTGCCATCTGCGAGGTCAGCTGGTTAGTGATCACCACGCCGCCGTGCCTGGACAGCTCCGGAGGAAGTCCGTCTGAGCCGGCAGCCTTGGATCATCTCAAGCGTCGAATCTCGAGGCAAACTTCCGCTTCCCTGAGTGGATCCAGGGGGACGAGCCAGGGTATACAACAAGGTGCACTGCGTGCACTGATGGACGGTGGAAGCCAGTTGAATTGCGAATGGAAGTACTCGGCCAAGGGGTCCAAATGTCTCTGCTGGCTGGTGATCGGAGATTCATACACTTCGCAGTTAACTTCACTGACTCCAGGCTTCCTGAGGCCAGTAGACCGAATGGGTTGGAAAAGCTTGCTAGTGTTGCCAGAGAGGGCAGTGGTATCCATGTTTAATGTACGCTCATCCCACCAGGCCTCACGATCCTTGCCCAGGCTTTGATTGAGCAGTCGGTTGGTAGAGCAGCGCCGCTCGTTGCAATTTGATTCTGCCGGGATATCTGCGGCGGTCGAACAGCTCCAGAGAACGAGCGGAGATCTAAGCCTTTAAGGGGCGCCGGTCTAAACCGCAGCTTGATTGCCTGGAAGTGGTCATTGCCTTCTGTATGCAGATGCAGTGATGCTCTGTCTGGCAGTCGACTGCAACTGATTGCAAATGCCGGTGACGACTACTATTTCGCCTGGACTGAAGAATCTGTTCGCATCAATCCTGCAGTTCTTCTTCTTTGGGAACCCCTCAAAACACTAGCAGATTTTTATGCAAACGAGCGCATGATCTGAGTCATTGAAAGTGGACCAATAGGATCTGTACTACTGTACGCTTCCACTTATTCTTAAGCTGATTGCAATATGATCAATTTGAGACCACGCTTGTGTTGGCTAAGGGGACGCCAAGTTACGGAACCTTTCTTTGTATGCCTGCAGTTAGTGATCGAAAGAAACAGACGGTTGTCTTCACACAACGTGAAGTCTCTCTTCGTTATCAGGGTGGCCCTCATTGAGCGCGTGGTGACCACCAAGGTGACGTTCGTGTTTTAACAGGTGGTCAACCCGTGCATTGAAATCCCCAGCAAGCACAACGATATCCCATTTATTTGCGTTACTCAAGAGCCGATGAGCCTTCCGATGAAAGTCTATTGACCGAGTCACTGCCGCAGTCGGGTGGAGCGTACGCGGAGTTCACAAACAACTTGCGTCTCTCTATGCGACTCTTGTCGATTTTACATCAACCCCGAAGCCGAACTGCACACAGTCGGCTATTAGTCGGGAACCAGTCCAGTAGTGCAGCCTCGGCTCTGCCACTTAGTGCCATACCTACACCAGCCAAAGCCGCTGAGGCGGCTTCTGAGTCTCCAGAAAGACGCAGGCGATATCTGGATTTCTTGTTTAGTAGGAGATGTCGGCTTTGACACTTTGCTGGGGTTCTGCAGTTGAGTTTCGGCAACGCAGCAGGCGTCAGAATCGAGGGACTGGGGTGTGCGCTAGATTGCTTTGCCGTGAAATCTTCATGAGTGTCCATACATTGAAGCACGCAAAACGAAACGAGGGTCGAATGAGAGCAACTGGTTGAACTTCATATTTCGCCGTGCAACCGGAATCGCAGTCAGTTCCATGTACACATGAATCGGGTTAACAAATAAACAGTTAGCGTGTGATAAAGTCGCTTGAATGTAAGAAGCAGTAACAGACGAACACACGGTAGAACAGTCCGTGGTTTTTCGCCAGAGGGCGGGATACTACCCGGTTGCCCAGGCCGAAGTAGCGAGTTGGCTTAGAGGACCCCACCCAGAACATTTGACTAGATTGTCCACCCGCAAGGCAACGGGACGCATTCAGAGAATCTCGCTCATTGAGAGCCGGTAACTGATTGCTTAGTTCATACGCCATTCGTGTCGTTGGCTACCAGACGGGCCCAATCCTCCCCACCTTTTTAACGGGAGGTTTCTGTAATACAATGCTCCACCGAGGTGAAGCAAATGACGGTGACTTTATCTAGTGGCAAGTCACATCTGCCACATGACATACGTAACTTTTTATATGGAGAACGCTTGCCAGGGCAAAAACCCATCACGTCCTGGAACGCTGCCGCCAAACCATTGGCAGAAACTGGATAATCCCGAACAACCTAGTTGGCACCACAAGAAGGTAGTTCGGCAAACCACCTAAGAAATGGGTTAAAAAGACAGGAAGCACCATCGTCTTCAGCTTTATCTACCCTGCTCGATGCAGCTTATCGAGTGCCGTTGATTATCATTTGTGATGACCAGAGTATCCGGAAGTCAAAAGTCGGTGTTAGCGAACATGTTTTAGATAATTCGTCTTCAGGCCAGTACGATTATAAGCCAAACATATCCATCAGACAGACTACTGAAGTCGTTAACAAGAGGGTAAAACCAGCGTTTGGAAGAAGTCAATCATTGCTGTTAATGAGGTCAATGTCAGCCTGCTCGCGATCCAACTGTGTTACGGTCACAAGTTGATCGCACCATGGCAGGTGTAAGGCCTGGATGAATCCCTTCTGAACGCACAGATTCGGTTCGTGGAGCGGAATTGCGATAGCTACAGCGGCTTCTAGCATCCATTGGCGCATATACCTCGACCGATCATCCGGGGCTTTGTAGATAATTTGGAATCCTTCGGCTGGCCTAGGGTTGTTCCCTGTGTCGGCGAAGTGGGCAGCTATAATGGAGTTACATACTCTTCTGATTCCAGCTGCTAGCCATGTCGGACGGTATTCTTTCACTCTCTCGAGTAGACACCTAGTCGTATGACCAAAATATCCTGCTCCACAGGAACAGCTAAATGAATAGATGCGCATAGAGTTGTCATGGACAGGTCTACTGTCCTTGTGATTGAGCTGTGCCATCGGTATGCGTGTTTGGCATTGTATTGCGTTGAGGTAGGATACTGTCCGGTTACTCAGGCTTATTGAGGAGAACGGTCAGGATCCTCAATCAGTGCCTTTAATTCCATACCTGACTGCAAGGAGTTTTGCCCTGGACTACAGAGAATGTTAAGGAATAAGGCTCCACCCCCACCGATTCCCCATTTTACGGACCAGGAGACAGTTCCTCTGACCAATCTTACATGTATGGATCTGGAATTGTACAAAAGCCAGTTAGCTTACAGCGTCTGTTTCATTTTATACATTGATATGAATTGACTACAGTTATTTCACTTAGTTCAGGTAACCCTCCTATATGAATGCGAAACCTGGCCCCTCAGCTCGACAGACTTAAAGAGGCTTCTTATGTTCTACGATCGTTGCCTTCGCAGCTTAGTTCATGTCTGATGGGAACACCGCGCAAGCAACGAGCGTGTTCGGCGTCGTGTATTTGATGCATGAAGATCGAGTGAACCGCTTAACACCATTATATCACGCACCAAACTCGATTAAGCTGCGTGTTGCGCATGACAGCACACCGGTTCCCGCGACGTGCATTGTTTGCGCGCCGGGGCTATGGTTGGAAGAGGAGGACGGGAGGCCAAGCGATGACTTGGTCACAAGGAGTGAAGTCCCTCACTTCGAAGTTGGCGTCGGTTCGGGTCTCCCGACTGCCGGGCTGGGTCCGAAGGACGATTAACGTCTGCTTGGATACACTAGTTGACATGACGAGCAGCCGTCCTCAGTGCGATTTGTGTCGTGAGCTTCTTTGTCCCTATCTTTTAGCTTCCCTTCCCAATTCGGTCTCGTACTCAATAACTATTTTTTGCATTGTATTACTTTTTGGTTTTTATAGTCTGTAATGTTTAATATTTTATCCGAGGTGTGTTTTTCACTTTCTGGTAATGTGTATTAATAATGATGTGTGCATCTTCACGGTAGTCGGTCGGGGGTATGGGGAAACTATATGCTGTTACCCGAAAGTTTAGATCGGGTTTATATCTCTCTTCGTCGGTTAATCGCTATCTGATATGAACTAATCGCGGACTCAGTTGTGCTCCTGCTTATTCCTGTTATCAGTTAAAGCCAATCAAGTTTTTTCCAACCACATTTTCCATTAGCTTTTTATCTTAGCTTGCATGTCCTCGCTTTTTACGTATACTTTATTTTCATGCATTTCTGATAGCTCCGGATCCTGGCAGTTTATTTTTATTCGCTCCTCTGCTTTGGTATTGGTTGGATAGGTCTGGTGACCTTATTATTTATCGTGGAATTGTTTTCTAGATTTATCTTTTGGTCTGTTTTTCTGTATTGGCGGAACATTGAAGCTCCACGTAGTGTTCTGCAGCATCCATTCTTCATTTTCTGCTAGTACAGTCACCTCATATAATTGACGCATGTAGGCTATTCGGCATTTCGTTTCTCAGAAAACAAGGCTCTACCTACGACTCAGTTACATCCATTGTACCTCCCGGGTCAGTTAACATATGTGGATGATGACACTGACGTCGTTCATTAGCGCGTTTTGATATTCCGCCTTTCTCGGTCTGCTTCTCTCTTTTCCACTATACTGTGTGCTAGAAACTGCGCGTTACACTTATTAGTTTAGTTGTCTGTACATTTTCTTCTCTCGGGCGTCTGCTTTTTGCCAATTTTGTATGGTTTTCTTTTATGGAACTTATAATGGGTCCATTCCTAAATGTACTTGCATCTTACAAGGTTGTCCGCCATTCTGGGGGTTCACCCGGTCAGTTTTTAATGGGCGAATCAGCCACTGCTGTTGGAGCCCCGTCATCATCCGTCGGCATGGCCTGCGCTTCAACCTCTGGAATACGACCCTTTGGCCGCCCACCTGCTGTTACGTTGTCTCCGGCACCGCTACCATCCTCCTCTAGACAAACTTACCTCCCTCCTGAGTTGCGAGGTTAGTTCTTACAGCTGCTCTGTTTCTTTGTTTTTTTTGTTAGTTTCCTCGGGATACTTCCGAATTCTTCTCGTTCTTCGCCTTCTGGTCATCCTACTCCATCTAAAGCAGTTCAACACTTTTCTGCGGCTACCACTGGTACACAGCCACAAACTGAGTGGTGATTCTGCCAGTGGTGAATAAAAGAAATGGTGAATGGACTCCTTGAATGAACATTCACGATCGAGGTGTCGACAACTTGTCGACCACAACGTACACTTGGGGTTTCCTTAACAATCAGAAATAGTATCTAATTATGTAGCATATAATCGATTGTGAGGTAGAAAAACCAGTGCTATTGGGTACATCGGAATACTGCTTATACTGTCCCAGTGGATACTCTAGCTTTCTCTGCTGTCGCTCGTGTTACTCTTTTTTGCTATTTTTGTTGTTTTCTGACCTCCGTGGTTTTGGTTACTTTTGTCTATATTCCGAATGTTTTTATCTACGTAACCACATAACAGTTGCATATGCACAGATGCCCATCGAGCGTTTACCATGTCCCACCGTTCCTCTGTTTGTTTGCCACTTGAGTCATCTTGAGGTCGGTTTTAGCCTCTGGCGATGACTTCTCGGCGATGTGCATAGGATTTCATTGCCATACATCTTTTTGCACCCAAATGTAAGAATTATTTTCTCTACTTTATGCCTATTGGCTTCATGGTTTTGAGCTTTTTTACGAATGTTATCTTTACTGCAATAACGCTTGACGCCTCGGGACCGTTTGCTTGCTTCATCCTCATTTGATTAACAGCCAGTCTATTTTTACCATCCTAACTATGAATATTATGTTGTATTCTGTACAGTATTCTCTGTATACCTGTGGTCACACGAGTTAACACACACTGATCACACTAGCTGTTTCGCCACACTTTCGTACGCTTGTCTTCAACCACTTTACATTCAACGCATTAAGAATTACTAACTATTTGGAATTACCGCTTTAATGATTATTGGTCGCTTATGTTCGCTGCTCACCTGAGTTATCTCTTCTGTATCCATTGATCCTTGTGTTTCAGGTTTAGACGAAGACTCATTAGTCGCCATAGTCATGGAACGTTCGAGGAATGAATATCTACAATCACTTGGCAGAAGTCGCTCATCTCCGTCTTCTGTCTCTCACGATGCTAGTAGTTTGAATCAGTTGCTTTTGGCCACCACGAGCTCACTTGATCCACCGGATTCATCATCTGCCCCTTTACCGGACGATGTGCATACCCCCTCCACTTGACACGCTGCGGAATCCTTCCACTATTTCCCCCTTATTTTCGGCCTTTTGCCTGTTACCAGGGTGATGTGTGCCTTTATCGTCCTTTCAAAACTGATGGCTAGTTGTGATGACATATTGTGAACGTCTTTCTGACATCTCAAACCGAATTTACTTGTTCGTCCCCTCTTTTGCGATCACTCTATGTGATCTAGATACGTGTACTATCCTGCTTCCGATTTAGCGGTGTTTGGGATTAGGTCAATTGTAACTAACTTCTTCGATCTGATAATTTTCAGTGTTCGACTGATTTTCTTGGTTGCATCCCGCGATTGGTCGGGTCGGTCTGTTTACGGTTGGAGAACTTGTACATGTCCATCTTTCTGTGTTTTAATCTTCGTATTTGGGGCGTCAACTTGTACTTGCACCTTATCTGACGTTCCTCCTCCTCCAGTATCTCTCTTACCGGAGCCTGAAAGCTTCACCCCTAAGATGGTAATCCAAATTGCATTCGAGCACAGGTTGAAATGCTTGTTCTGCTCCACATCGTGATCTAAATGTTGGTCGACCAACCCTATGTTGTTTTACTGTGCGCGCTCGGGTTCTATTTTAGCTTGGTTTTGATGTTACCTGTACTGAAGCCAAGTCCATTCCCACACAGCAAATAGATTTTATCCGTATTATTTTTCAGCTCCTAGTAGCTGTGCCCTTCGGGTAGTATCTTCTCATCTTTTTACTGTAGCTCAGGGTGTCCTACATTTGCAACCACGCCAAAAGTTTGTTGCGAAGTCTCGCTCCCTACTTTCCATTTTTGCATTTTCGGAAAACCGTAGTATATCCGTACGATCAGCCGGTGGCAGAAAAGATTACGCGCCTGCCGTGTTATCTTAAGGTCGCCGATTAGAATCTACATAGGCACGGGCAACTTCTCAGTGAGAGCAGCTCATCACCTTTCACATTGGCTGTGCTAATACCCTACGCCCCGATGAAGGCTGTTCACACCGCTGCATCACGCTCAACGCGCGCGTTAAAATCACCCAGTAGGAATAGCCGCTTGCTGCTCGGCGCAGACTGTATCACGGATGACACCGAGCGTAGAACTGATCCCTCGTGTTATCAGGATCATCCTCAACAGCAATACATCAGCCATTTGAACTGATGCATCACTGCCGTACAGCCATGGTGATCTACGGAACGAAGAATAATAGGAGGGAAAGAAGGGGACCTAGCACCAAACTTTAATGCCCCAAACATTCAGGGTCATGCGAACTACACTTTGTCAACAACATACCGTCAAACAATTGGCTATCGTGCAAAGATAAGGCGGCATCAGCGAGACAGCTTCCTTGCGGCTTTCACTACCTCGCGTCATACTCAGCCATTACCCTGCAGATAACTGCGCCAAGCACACCTTGAACAGGCAGTCCGATTAGGGGACGGCAGCAGACACGCCACTGGTGTCTACTGCGAGCCATGTTATCACTACCTAGTACTCACCTACGTACATCATTGTTGCGGACACGTTGGTGCCACCCGATACCAGCATTGCTTCACAAACAGCGATGACCAAACTTGAAGATGCTTCTGATCTTCAGACCGAAGGGGCAGATGTGACGCGCCACTGGTGTCGGTTGCGAGCCATGTCCTGTAAAGTCTCGAGCCAAGCACAAGGCGAGTCACGTGGACTCCAACCCGGAAGGCGAGACGGACCAACGGCACCCAGTTTGGTCGTCAGTGACTTCATTTCCCGCTGCCAAGTCAACTTCTGTCCACCTCGAGCCTTGCGCCATCCGACACCTGGTAGACTGAACAAGGCCCTCCTAGGTAAGCGGTGACCAGGCATGCGTAGCACGTGCCCGAGCCAACGTAACTTATTCAGTGCTATCTGTTGTTCTAGGGAGCTAGCATGATCATCACCACCTAGTACTCGCCTACGCACATCATCGTTGCGGACACGCTGGTGCCATCCGACACCAGCAATGCTTCGCAAACAACGATGATCAAAGACTTGAAGGCGCCTCAGATCTTCAGACCGAAGGGGCCAAGTTTCACTACCATAGAGCAGAACGGCCCTCACTGTGGCCTTGTATACACGGCCTTTCAGACGGAGGGAAACTCCCTTCTGTCGCCAAAGATGACGCAGGTTCAAGAAGGCAGCTCTGGCCTTTGCAATGCGTGAGCTAACGTCAGTTTCTATGCGCCCATCATTGCTGATGCAGCTGCCAAGATAAGTGAATTGATCAACCACCTCGAGTTCCTCGTTAGCAAGCGTCAAGGGGTCATCGAGTGGCTGGTGGTCCTGCAGCAACACTTTGCACTTTGAAGGTGCGAAGTGCATACCAAATAATGGGACCACTCTGGATAGGCTATTCAGGGTTGATTGTGCCGCCTCAACATTGTCGAAAAGCAAGACGATATCGTCCGCATAATCTAGATCAACTAACCGTTCACCAGGCAGCACTTCAACACCTACATCGTGAGATTCCGCAAGGGAACACTCCATGATAGAATCCACGACGAAATTGAACAAAAATGGGGAAATCGGGCAACCCTGTCGAACGCCACTTGTAGTCGAAAAGCTATCCGATAGGGCACCATAGACCCTGACGCGGCCTCTAGTGTTCGAGTATAGAGCACGAAGGATGTTCACATATTTCGTGGGAACACCTTTCCGCGCAAGTATTTCGAACAGAATCGATCGATCGACTGAATCGAACGCACTCTTGAAATCGAGGAACACAGCTATTGTCGGTCTGCGGTATGCGTGGCGCTGCTCTAGCACCTGCCGCAAAGTAAATATATGGTCTATACAGCCACGTCCTGGGCGAAAACCGGCCTGCTCTTCTCTAATCCGAGATTCCCGTTCTGCAGTGAGGCGACGAACGATAATCGAGGCCAGTAATTTTGTCACAACTGGCGTTAGGCTAATACCCCTGTGGTTCGCACAGTCTGTGCGACTGCCCTTCTTGTATATTGCCACTATAATCGATTCGCTCCAATTAGCCGGCACACTCTCTTCGTTCCAGATACGTTCGAATAGGGAGGTCAGTGCTTTGCAGAGGACCTCACCACCATCCTTAAATAGTGCAGGTGGTAGGGAATCCGGGCCAGCGGCACGAAAACGATTAAGGGCTGTGATCGCGTTTCGGACTTCGGCCTCCGACGGAGGCTCTAAACTAACCGTCCATGGCTCGTCCTGCATCACCTGAGTAGGAAGAGGTCCGGGAGCAGGGGGCCAGCTGAACTGATGTTCAAAGTGCTCAGCCCAACGAGCCATACGGCGCTCCTTATTGTGTATCAGCGCACCCGCGCTGTCCCTGATTGTCTCACTGACGCCTGGTTTTCTCGGACCAGTGGTGCGTATTAGCTGGAAGAGCTTCCGGTAATTGCCTACTGCTCCTGCCTCCTCCATTTCTTGAGCCCGACTGGTCCACCAGGCTTCCTTGTCAGCACGTAGGCTCCGCTTTAGTTCACGCCTAATAGCCCGTCTGGTCACATTGTGTTCAGAACCAGCCGGGAGGTGCCTTCTAGCTTCCAAAAGGTTCACGG